CCTGAATAAATACATGATCCTCTAATCCTTGCAGTTGACGACACTCATGACAAACGGGTGGTGGATTTAGGTTAGTCTTTCCATACTACAGGACAACCTGACATTCTTAAAAATTATGTTGCAATAAATCATGGAAATGTATATCTTGCTGATTGAAAGCCTTTGGACATCATTGGGATTGGTGACGTTAATTTAAAATTGGCGAACAATTAATTTTGGAAGATTCGCAAGGTACGTTACATTTATAATATGATAAAGTACCTAAATTCGGTGGGGCAACTGGATAATGAAGTATGTGAAATATCATTTGGTCAAGGAAATTGGAAAGTTACAAAGGGTTCCAGCGTAATCACTCGATGAAGAAAGTTATGGATTTTATATGGCAATAACAATGACAAAGACATGGTAGTTGTTGCAGATCATTCGAGTCATACCCAATTATGGCACAGTAGGCTAGGACATATAACTGAAAAAGGTATGAAAATTATTCACTCTATAGGTAAGCTATAGGGACTTAAGGAAGTTGAACACAAGTTATGTGAATGTTGTGCATATTTGGGAAGCAGAGTCGTGTCAATTTGTCAAAGATAGGATCAACACTAAAGTCTAAAAAATTGGAGTTGGTTCACACCATATGTGAGGGCCTTTTGAAGTTTATTCTATTAAAGGATCTAGATACTATATAACTTTCATAGACGAGTCAAACAAAAAAGTACAGACTTATTTTATCAAATATGAGTCTGACGTGTTTTATGTTATTAAAACATGGAATTTTATTGTAGAGAATGAGACAAACTTGAAAATCAAAAGTTTGAGGTCAGACAAAAGTGGTGAGTAAGTCGATAGAGAATTTAAGAAATATTGTGCAAACAACGAAATTGTGATAGTAAAAACTATTCTAGGGACGCCACAGTAGAACATTGTAGCGAAGAGAATGAACAGGACACTGAATGAGTGTGCCAGAAGCATGAAAATACATGTAGAATTGCTTAAGATGTTACGGGCAAATGAAATCAACTGTGCGACTATCTGATCAATAGGAGCTAGACCACATCACTATACTTCAAATTGCTTAAAGAAGTCTGGACTGGGAAACAGGCAAACCTTTTCCATCTAAAGATTTTTGGTTGTGTATCTTACCTTAACATTGATGTTGTAGATGAGAGTAAATTGGATGCCAAATCCAATAAATGTTTATTTCTTGGGTATGGTGGAACTGAGATAGGTTACAAATTTTGGGATGACCAAAACAATAAGATTAGCAAAATCAAGAACGCGATCTTCAATGACGTAGTTTTCTACAATGATAGAACTAAATTTGATTCAGGAAAGACAAATGGAAGTACATAAAAGAAGTCTCAGTACGTAAGTCGTCATGAGGTTGAGACCAAAAAAACAGGGATCGAAGATCATAATTTAGTTACTTTTAAGGAATTAGTGTGGGATCTGAGGAACGGGTTGTGGAATCTGATTAACTAGTTGTGGAAACTGATAAGGTTCAGAGAACACCAACAACAACTAGAAGTTCTAGCATAACGATCAGACCACCACAGAGGTTTTCCCCTACGTTGAAGTATATTTTATTGACTGACAGATGTGAACCTGAATGTTATGAAGAGGCGGTTCAGCTAGAAAACCGTGTCAAGTGAGAGCTAGCCATGAAAGATGAAATTAATTCTATAATGACTAATCAGACATCGCAATTTGTTGAGTTACAAAGAGGTAAGAAAGCTTTGCATAATAAATGGGTATATAAAATCAAACAGGGGCCCATAATAACAAAAGGACAAGGAAAGGCTTATAGTCAAGACTTTCAACGAAATGAAGGTATTTAATTTAATGAGATTTTCTCTCCTGTAGTTAAACTATTAATTTAATGAGATTTTCTCTCCTGTAGTTAAACTAACTACCATTAGGACTGTTTTATCGATAGTTGCAAAAGAAGATTTGTTCCTGGAGCAAATGGATGTAAAAACAACTTTTCTTCATGGTGATTTGGAGGAATAAATTTACATGATGCAGCCACAAGGATTTATAGTACATGAGCATGAGAAAATGGTACGCAAACTTCAAATAAGCCTGTATGGTCTTAAACAGGCACCCAATTAATGATATAAGAAGTTTGACAGTTTTATGTGCAGCTGTGGATTTCAAAGGTATCCGGCAGATCATTCTTGCTACATAAGAACTCAATGTAACTCATTTATCATTTTATTGCTATATATTGATGACATGTTGATATCAAGACCAAACAAAGAAGAAATTCTGATGACAGAGGTTGAATTATCTAAAGAACTTGATATGAAAGATTTAGGAGCTGCTAAACAAATATTAGGGATGAGAATCGAGAGAAAATATGGTATTTTGTCATTGTCACAGAAAGAATATGTGAAAAAAGTGTTAAACAGATTTAACATGGGAAATGCAAAACCTATGAGTACTATTTTGGCTAGTCATTTTAAATTATCTAAAGAGCACTAACTCACTACAGAGCAGAAAATTGATCATATGGCTAGAGTGTCATATGCTTTAGCTATAGGAAGCCTAATGTATGTCATGGTTTGCACAAGGCCTGATATTGCACATGCAGCGGGAGTTGTCAGTAGGTATATGAGTAGCCCAAGAAAGTAACACTAGAAGGCTGTGAAGTGGATCTTCAGATACTTGAAGAAGACGACTAATTATGTGATGCACTTTAAATGATCAGATTTTAAATTTCAGGGATATGTAGATGCAGATATGGCAAGGGATATAAATGGCAGAAAGAGTACTATTGGTATATTTTTACTTTGGGTAATACTGCAATTAGTTGGGTCTCCAAATTGCATAAGATAGTTGCACTTTCTACTACAGAAGTTGAGTACGTTGCAGTTACTAGAGCAAGCAAAGAGATGATATGACTTCAGTCTTTATTGGAAGAACTTTGCTTGAGAATTGGAAAAAAGGACTTTTCATTGTGACAGTCAGAACACTATTCATTTAGCAAAAAAAATCTCGTGTTTCATTCGAGAAAAAAACACATATAGGTAATATACCATTTTTATCATATCAGCTTTGAAAAATGGGATGTTGCTGCTTGATAATATTCATTTTTATCATACCATTTTTATCATTTTTATCATATCATTTTTATCATGTCAGAATCTAGTGGATATGTTTACCAAGGCCCTCCCCATTGATAAACTGAAGTTATGTGCAAGTTCAGTTAGATTTCTCCACGAGTAGAGAGGCATCACCACCGTTGCAAAGGAGACATGTTACTTGCTTTGTCTCCAAGTGGAAGATTGTTGAGATAATGGAACCAAACCTAGGAGATTTTTTTTTCTATAGTATATATTCCCCTTGTCCTATTTAGTTTGGTTTTTTTTTTATTATCTTTATCGTATTTAGTTCAAGCCTTTTTTATTTTCCTCTTCCTTTTTAGTTTTTGTCATACCATCTATTATAAATAGAGATATATGTGTCATTTGATAAATGAGCACAAATAGAGAGTCGTGAGTAATTCTTCAACAGATAGAGTTGATTGCTTAATAATTGTGTATCCATTAGAGAGATTGAAAGATTTGTAGAGTCATTCGTGTGAGTTTTCTGAATGAGGGAAAACATAGAGAAATCATTGTAAAGGGCTTGTAGACTTGTGGGAGATTCTTCTAGACATTTTAGTAGAACCTACAACGGTAGCAAAGAACTGGACGTAGCCTACATTGAGTGAACCAGTATAAATCCGACGTTTAATTTTTCTTCTCCCTAATTAATCTTTATTTAACATTATTGTTAGTTAGAAGTTTTAGATTATTTTATATAATCTTTTAAGTTGTAAGTTCCAATTTGAAATTTGCATTCCGCTTTAATTGGAACCATAACCTTATATAGGATTGGCTAGGAAATATTGTCTGCATTTGTGATTAAGATAATTATTAGTTGGCTGCATTTTTCACAAGTGATATCAGAGCCATGGTCTAAACCTAGCTGTATCGGTGAAATCCTCGGGTGCCGAATAAATAAGTGATGAGCATTGGAAGGTGTAGTCATGATGTAATCTATGGTTGTGCTCTATTCGACTGTGTCTAAAGCATTGGATAAGAGCAAACTCTTATTCAAGTCTGATAGTAGACGGATAAGTGACTACTTGAGAGGAGACTTAGTGGTATTTTGTTGAGGGGAAGGATTGATGAATTTGTAAAAGGAATGCAAATTAAGTCCCACATTGACTAGGGAAGAGCATGATCCAGGATATATGAATGAGGACAATTGTATCCATTGGCATGAGACCTTTTGGGTGAAACCAAAAGTAATGTCATGAGGATTATGTCCAAAACAGACAATATCATACCAAAACTTTTTCTTTTTGATGCTTGAGAAGCAAAATAAATAGTCTTTAAGAGCTCTTTTGATGTCTAAAATTACCTCTAACATGAGATACCTTCAGTTTGAGATACGATTGGAAGAATTACAGTATTTATTTCAAAGATACAAAAATTAATATTTAATCTAATTTCATTTGATCAAAACTGATCAACATAAATCATATTAGAATTAATTATCAAAGGTTTATTAGTCAATATTATAGTATCATTAACTCATTGACCTATTCTTATCCATTAAAAATCATTAATTAATTTTTTTTAAGAAATAATAAATTTTTTTTTTAGTACAACATGTAGGGTGGACTTTAAACTTATAATCTCTTAATTAGAGATATATGTGAATTACTGAGCTATCCTCGCTTTAGCAAAATATTTACTAATTATGTGTCTGTTGAACATAAATCTCAACATCTACGTGATTATTCACCAATTGTCTAAGGGCTAAAATTATAGAAATATAAGCGGCCTAAATCATCTCCGAGAAAAACATTGTCTCAGCCTCACTTGACACAACTGTCTAACAAGTTCTAAAGTCTTCCAAAACTCATACAATAAAATACTTAAAAGTATATGCTCAATAAAATTTTAAAAGGGGCAGAAAAATAAAGTCAAACCAACCTCTCATTCAACAACTTTAGCAAACTAATTAAAATTTCTTTATTTTAAGAGTTCTCATAACATTCAAGACAAGAACTTTATCATCAACTATCATAGCGTAACCAAACTATGTAGGCAAACACACCACCTCTAAACTTAAATCATCCTTGTTCCAAAGTCAGAAACGAACAGATGTGACAACAACAACTCAACATAAAACACAAGGGTTAATGACATACTATATACAGAGACAAAACATGCAAATATATAAAATCCAATGGTAGTACATATATTTATATAGTCCCTGTTTCCATGGATAGGGTGATGCTACTACCATTTGTAAGCTCGTCATCCTCAGCCCCTAGGGAAAATGATGAAGAAGATCCAATTGACAGAGCTTTCTCAATAATTTCTGAAGAATCTTGACACTTTATAATTCCTTCTAGTTCTAAATATACTTCTTTCATTGTCGGTCGATTTCTCCCATTTGTTTTTAAACATTTCGTAGCAAGTGTTGCAACATTGTTAATAACCTCCCTCCTTTCTTCACTGGCTACCGTAATATCTAGAACTTCACCGAGCTGATTAGCCTGATCCAATGAAATGAAGTAGTCTAATAGATTCCCACCATCATTGTCTTTTGCAAAAGTGACCGGTAGTTTTCCGGTTAAAAGCTCTACCATCAAAACTCCAAAACTATACACGTCACTCTTTTCAGTGTATTGACTTGATCTAAAGTACTCAGGATCTATATAACCAAAACTTCCTTGCACTTTTGTAGTCAAATGAGATTGATCACATGGCACAAATCTTGGCGTTCCAAAATCAGAAACTCTTGCACTACAATTGTCATCCAAAAGTATGTTTAAAGACTTTATATCTCTATGAAAGATAGGAACGGAAGATGCTGAGTGCAGGTAAGATATAGCTCCTGCAACTTCAGAAGCGATTCTGAGACGATTTTTCCATGAAAGAGAAGGTGATTCTTCAGAACATTCCTTGTGAATATGGTGAGAAAGCGTTCCATTAGAAACAAATTCATAAACTAGCAAAGGAGTCTCGGTTTCTAAACAACATCCCAAAAGTCTGACAATACTTTTGTGGTTAATTTGAGAGAGGACAATAACTTCATTAATGAATTGCTCGATCCAAACCATCTCAATTTGCTTTGACCTTTTGATTGCAACTATGGTGTTGTCTTGGAGTATCCCTTTATAAACTGTGCCATAGCCTCCTTGACCAAGAAATCTACTCTCATTGTAGTTACCTGTTGCTTGTTCAAGTTCTTCCTGTGTAAATATTTTAACTCTCCCCCTATTTTCACGTAGTTTTTGTTCCAATAAAAGACCTCCATTTTGCTTGAAAAGCTTTTTCTTATAAAGCTCGTGCCTTCTTTTCTTCAATAGTTCACAAAAGAAACAACATAGGGTTATTATCATTACACCACCTTCAATGGAAAACAAAAATAGTTGGTTAGCAATAAAAGAAGAAAGGAACAAAATGAAGTTTGAAAAAGGGAACCGGCTTGGTAATTAATTTCACCAAGATGTTGACATCAAAATTAAACTCATGTCGTTAATCAACATTCTGAAAATAAACAAAATGGATCAACATTATCAATATTCATGAGATTACATCTCAAGATTAATTGACAATAATAGAAGTAGCCCATTTATATTATAAACCATTGTTAGGCCTCATATCTTTTCAACGTGACATCCTTAATATATCCAATCACCATAGTGACTCTTTTGGGTTCACCAGTCAAGGTCACATCATTTTTTTGACCTGATGATATATAAGAATCACATATTGAAAAGATAGGAGACTTAACAAGAATTTTTATAATATAAATTAGCTATTCTTCTCATTGCCAATTAGTTTTAAGGGAAATCTCATGGATATTCATAAAGACGAACATAACTTAGTGGTAAAAACATCTATTTATTCCCTTGAAGTTGAAGCTCCAAATCCTCCCTATTGTACTAGACACATCTTCACATCAAGTAATCCACAAATATCAAATTAATATATAACCTATACTTCCATTTAATCTTAGCTAATCAACAAAACTATATTAAATTAATTAATTACTAAACTTATATTACTACTTATTGATAAATAAGGAATGGAGAAAATTCATGGAAAACAAATATATAAGCAAACAAAACAGTAATAACATGTCGTACAACTCACACACAAAGATATACAGAGATAGAGAGAGACCTACTCCACTCACGATGAGTGCGAAGATGAATTTGAGGAGCTCGAAATTGGAATGAGGCTCAGTGGCAATGCATCTGGAAGGATATATTGTGCACGTTAAATTACTGTCCAAATGGAACCAAAAGAGGCGTGAAGGGGTAGATGTGGCTCGAATTCGAAAGCATGTTTGCTTCCAATATGCTTTTTTCCTCGACCCCAAAAGCCTTCGCAACAGTTTCAATTGTGTCATTCGGCTGCAGCACGTACACAGCCAAGGACTCGACCCCTTCAGCTTTCTGAGCTTCACTAGGGCAAGCACATCGCAAAGGAACTTGGACTGTTCGACCTGTACTGATAACATCGTCATGATTTCGACTTCTCAACGCCGAGCAGCTCGTCAGGCCTTGAAAAATATCATTTGCTATCTTTTCGTAACTATCGCCACTCTTGACGGTGTAGTTGACGACAACTTGATAGGACGGACCCGAACATGTGCAGTTACTTCTAGGACTGAACAAAATACTGTTCTCTAATGTTAAATCGGTGAAAGCCAAGTTAGCAGAGCGAGGGTCGGATGTGAGTGCCAAATACGAAGGACATGTGTGTGAAGGAGCAGGACAAACATATCCTTTAGAGATTGAAGTATGGTTGAGAGAACAGCTGGTTTCGTTTCCCACATATTGCTGTTGGCCGATGGATTGGTGAGAGAAATGGAAAAGGAAGAAGATGAGAGAGAGAGCATAATAAGGAGACGAAGCCTCCATTATTCTTCTGGGAATTTAGTTCATATGGCCACTTTCTTTATACTATAGCGCCACCTTTTGTTTGTTTTTTGAAAACAAAAATATCTATCTCTACAAATGTGTGGCATAAAATATACTATAGGGCCGCCTTTTGTTTGGTTTCTCAAAACAAAAATATCTCTACAAATTAGGACTAATTATTCTAACAATCTCTTTATTCAAAGATTCTTTTATGTGTTTTGGAAATTTACTTGTTTTAGTTTATTTAATATATATATTTGATTATTGATACATGAGAAACAAAATTACTGACAGATAAATAATTGCTATGATTGTATAATTTTTTTTAGTACAATGTGTGGATGAGAAATTAAAAGTTGGTTTGGTAACATTTCTGTTTCTTATTTATGGTTTCTAATTTTCTTAAGAAATATCTAAACATTTTGCAAATCTAAGCATTTTGCAACTGACTATGTTTCTTTCCTTCCTATTTTTTGGGAACATTTTCAAAATTGTACACAACTTTTAGAAACAACAAAAATAAGTTTTTTCTTTTTTGTTTCCATTTCCTATTTTTTCCCAAAATATAAATAAAAAGATTGTTCGATCATACTTGACTCATGGATGTTGGGGTCATAAAATGCACGTTTCTCTATTAAAAATAAAGAAACAAAAACAAGAAACGTGAACGTTATCAAACGAGCCCTAAATATTCGATCTCTAAAAAATAAGCAAGATGTCTTGATTGCTGAGTTATGCTTATGCTAGACTACTATAATTATAATTAATCCTTTATTTAGGCCAAGCAACAGTTTTTAGATTGAATAGAAATATATTCTTCATCATCATCATTATTTAAGTTAATCATTAAGTTATAAGGGGTTTTTAAGTAGTGTTGTATTTGCAGTTATTTCTAAGATATTTGGATGTATTTTTAAAAATAAAAAAGTTACATGTATAGTCTTTCTATTAGATAACTATTACAATTCTGATAGTTTCTTAAACTGATTAATCATTGGTTAAGTCTTAGATTGCCATTACTGTAGTTTTAAAATACTTGTTGGCAATATGCTCTTAGAAAAATCAACTATGATATGATGTAAAATTGGTGTTCGGAAATTTAAATTTTAAACTTGAAAAAGAAGATTACAGTGTTCGGTAAATTAACTCATGGGTGGGCGAAAACATAAAAGAAACCAGAATGACACAACTCATTCTCCTGGGTCCTCTCATTCCTTCGTCGGTTCTAAGACAAAAATGGGCATATCTCCTCCCCCTCTTTTTTTTTTTTCCTTTTTTGGGTTTCACGCAATATTTTCCCCTTGAGATATGTGTGACGGTTGGGTAACCTGGAGCTTTTAAAGCTCCCCCAATTTAGGGCAACTAACATCAGCTATTCGAACAAATAGTAAAATCCACGTAGAAAGAAGTTACTGCGTTGCCCTAAAAATCCTCTGAAACTATGGTTAAGCATAGGGTGTCCTGACATTTGATAAGTGAATTTTATATTCATTTATTCTATCTAATTTTTGTTTTTTCAGCTCCGTTAAGGTTTAGATTGTCTAACTAAGCTTAAGGGAGAAGACCAAGCTACCTACCACACATAGGCGGAGCTGAAGGATACACGAACTGGAGAATCGCCTAAGTACTCTCCAACCAATCTAAGGACTCCGAACTCAGGCCTGACAGTCAACCTTGGGCCGGATACCCAGTAACCACCTGTCGAGGCGGTTCCAATGTCGTTGTCCCCCTTCTCCCACCCTCGAGTGCCTATAAAAGGAACACTCCTCTACTCATTTAGGTATGCAATTATGTACGACTTTATGTCGTACAGTAGCTTGAACCACTATTGACTTGAGCTTTTGAGTCTTTGTTCTTGATGTGCAGGTCAGTCCTTGCGTTGCACGCTCATGTTCAACGTAGGCCCATCTATCTAGATTGACAAAATTCAACATCAACATTTGGTGCCATTTGTGGAGACTGACATAAATAAAGCTCTTGTGCTTTACGATGGATGACGTTTACCAATGTTCAGGCAACAATAATCTCCGAGATCCTACTATGCGGAACAACGACAATCAGGAGAAGGCTCTCAAACCCCCAAAGTTGAGAATCCCAGGTGATGCTCGAAATACCAAATCTATTTCGTTAAAGGAGGTCATATCCATCGTGCTGCAATCTCAAATAGCTCAGATGTAGGCGCGAATTGACACCGTGACACAAGCCTTACTAAATGCCAAGGTACCACTCCTTGAGCTTCCCAAGCCTGAAATCCCTCGTGATCCTAGCAAAGGCAAGCAGGTGGGTGACCACCCTAAGAAGAAGCTCTCTCAGAGACCTGTCGAGAAGCTGGTTAGCGGTAGCAACGAGAGATCCTTATCTGAGAAGGATCTTTAGTCGATTATCTTTGTCCGACCTTCCTAGAGAAAAGATGAAGACTTGCAGGACACTATCATTTGCAATAGAGCTCAGAAGCAGAGTGAGTTCGAGAGGCAACAACCGGAATAGCAGTAGGCAACTTGAGCCTATAGATGTAGTTTGACCAGTTGAAGAAAGAGCTGGTCAGCGAGATCAAGGTCAACCTAAAGAACACTAAAGATAAGCTTACTTCTGATAATGACGAGCCTGAAGAACCATTGTTGCTTCGGGCCATTCTCGACACGCCGATCCCACAAAAGAGCCACTTGCCAAGCTTAGACGAGTACGATGGCTCCACCAATCGAGTAGGTCATGCAGAGACCTACAAGTCTATGATGCACTTATTTTCCATAACCTTGCAAGGCTCCGCGAGAAAATATTGGCTGGTTACACCTCATTCCATTTTGACATGGAAGTAGTTGCGCAAAGCCTTCATAGCCTACTTCGAAGCTCACCCGAACGTCAAACACTTCGATACTTATCTACTTTATGTCAAGCAAAGACACACAGAATGCCAACGTGACTACATCAAAATATTCCTTTCTGAGCAGATCAAGGTGGAGAGCTACACCAACTTCTTTTCTTGATTAGTGTTTTTAAATGGGGTAACCCACGAGAAACTGAGTTGGTCATTAAAAAAGAAGCTCGATGCCAATTTGAAAGGCTGCCTCGATCGAGCTAAGAAGTTCATTGAGGTAGAAGATATTATTAATATTCATGGGGTTCCATCTCAAAACCAATTGGTAATGAGAGGAGTAGCCCATGTCTATTATAAATCTATGTTTGGTCCCTTCTCTTTTGGATGTGGGATCCTTAACATGTCCCTTCAAGATCGTGGCTCTTTGGGCTCATCGATCTTGGCCGGGTCACATTTTTAGACCGGTTGCTCGTTTGAGCATTTTGAGCTCTGACGATATTAATATTCATGGGTTCCATCTCAAAACCAATTGGCAGTGAGAGGAGTAGCTCATGTCTATTATAAACCATTGTTAGGTCCCCTCTCTTTTCAATGTATGATCCTTAACATGCCCCCTCAAGATCGTGGCTCTTTTGGCTCATCGATCTTGACCGGATCCCATTTTTTGGACCGATTGCTCATTTGAGCATTTTTGGGCTCTCATACCATGTTAAGGATGAATAAACCATCACTCAACCAAAAGCTTAAGCTGATGGGTTAGGTAAATTTAATTCATTTATTGGATTAAATTTGAGATGAAACCCCATGAATATTTATAGATATTATCTAGTCTAAAGACAACAAGTCCTACAGATGCAACTCGCCGCCATATTCAAAGGATAAAGACAGAAGAAACAATAGGTCGGGCTATTCTCGTCGACCAAACAATGATCGATGCAATGAGCAGAGATTAGAACGACCTAAAATGTACAACAAATTCACACCTCTCAATGTCCTGAGTGTTGAGATATTGGCAAACATCCATGACTCCAAGATTAACCTGTTGAAGGATCTAAACCCCACACACCAAGATCAAGACAAGCGCGACATTTCAAAATATTGTCGCTTCCACCGAGTCCATGGTCACCACACCTCAAAGTTCTACAACCTAAAGAAGAAGATTGAGGGCCTTATCAAACAAGGTTACTTTCAGAAGTGTGTGGGTAAGAAAGACTGAGGTAGCGGCTCGAGAGGTTCTATAAGGAAACAACAAGAGACAAGGAAGAGGTCAAGGACCCCTCTAAAGCGAGACGAGCAACCTCCAATGATCAACACGATCCATGGAGGACCAAGTGAGGGCCAGTCTAGCCACAAGTGAAATGAGCTCACTCGCGAAGCTTGGTAGGACAATCTGTGCCTTGCAAGCCAAGCCAAAAAGTTGCCCCATTACTTTCTATGATGGCGACCTATAGGGCATCCACCACCTTTACAATGACACCCTGGTCATAGCTCCGTAGATCGACCACGTTATGTTTGTTGTGTTCTAATTGATTGCAGAGCCTCTGCCAACATTATTTCTCTATCAACCTACATAAGTTTTGGATCGGGTAGAGCTTAGCTCAAGAAAAGCTTGACACCTCTGGTTGGCTTTGTAGGAGAGAGGGTCATACCTGAAGGTTACATCGAGCTCCCCATCACGCTCGACGAAGGTGATACTCGAGTCACCCAAGTCGCAAAGTTTGTGTCGAAAGTAAAGAAAAATATCATAAACAAATAATAAACGATCCCAGCAGTAAACACGCTTTAAAATGTTGACAACAAGAAGAAGCTACAGCACATAATAACAAAGAAGGGGAGTAAACAGATATGGGAAAACGGGGGAGACATAGCATGCTTTCACTGACTCCCAACCTAGGCTCTAGCCAAAAAACATTCATTAATGCTCAACTCGACACGGTTCCCTTCCGAGACACCCAAACATGGATACCACAACTTTTGTTGCTAAATATCCAATCAATAAGCACAAGTTCTAAGCATGATTAGGGAACCCAATCCCTGAGTATCCACGACCATACTCGAAAAAAGTAGTAAATCACACATAAAGCAAGTTAGCTACTCGTAAGCCCTCCCGGGTCATACAGACGCTAGCATACAAAACAGAATGGGCAAAAATGTTCAGTAACGATTAAGAAATAAACACAGCTCAAT